AAAAAAAAAAAAATAGCTTTTTTTCCCCCTCTCCTTGAAAATACAGTGATAATTCAAATTTTACTTAGAGAATGCCAGCCTTTCAGTGTCAGTACTTGATGAGATGATACAGAATTCAGTTAAAATATTGAATGTAATAAGAATAAATTTACAGTAAGTAATAATTTTGCTGATAATGAATTTAGTGAATAAGAAATGTTATTGTTTTAGTATAATCTATAAAAATGTTAGAAATTATTTATCTCTATAGTAAATATTTCAGATTTGAGGAAAGGGTTTGTTTAGAGTTATTGTTTAAGCAATATTTTAAATTTGGCTTAATGTTGAATTTAAATTTATTAAATAAATATTTATTTGAATTTAAATTGATTAAATTTAAATTTGGTTATTTTCTATATTGAGAAAGGTCATAGATCCTTAAAATGCATGGATTATAAAGTCTTATAATTCAAAGAAAGTCTGCTTATTTTTAATAATAACCATTACTTATTAGGCTGTAACTGTAGGCTCAGGACTTTATTAAGTATTCAAAATATATTATTTACTTTTATTAATATCACTCATACATATGGTGTTATAATTCTGTATTTTATTTACAGCCATTTTGAGTAATATGAAATAAGTTCTCTTCCTTGTTTTGTAACCTTTAATGTCTTTGTTGTACAAATATTGTGCTTAAATATTATGTGGGATAATTGCAAAATTTCTGATTTGGTGATATTTAAATATGTATTTTCTTTTTCCATGAGCTTACGAATCTTAAGTATTATATTGATTGACAATTGTTTTCTTTATTGCAGAAACTGTAAGAGTAAATGGGTCCAGTAATTGGAATGACTCCAGAAAAGAGAGCTGAAACTCCAGGAGCTGAAAAGGTTGCAGGATTAAGCCAGATTTACAAAATGGGAAGCTTGCCTGAAGCTGTTGATGCTGCCAGGCCAAAGGCCACTCTAGTGGACAGTGAGTCAGCAGATGATGAACTCACAAACTTGAACTGGCTTCATGAAAGTACTAATCTTCTAACAAACTTCAGCTTTGGAAGTGAGGGTCTTCCAATTGTTAGTCCATTGTATGACATAGAGGGAGATGATGTGCCATCCTTAGGACCATCTTGCTATCAGAACCCAGAAAAAAAATCAGCAACTGCAAAGCCCCCATATTCCTTTAGTCTTCTCATTTACATGGCCATTGAACACTCTCCAAATAAATGTTTGCCTGTCAAAGAAATTTATAGCTGGATTTTGGATCGCTTCCCATATTTTGCTACTGCACCAACAGGCTGGAAGAATTCTGTTCGACATAATCTGTCCCTGAATAAATGTTTTCAGAAAGTGGAAAGAAGCCATGGCAAGGTCAGTGTTAATGAACATTGCTGTATTTGGGGAGGTGGGGGAGAATTAACATCAAGACCTTAAAATATGGGGAAACTAAAGAAAGACAAAAAGTAGTCAACTCATAATTACTTCAGTTTTAGCTTAATTATATTCATCATTTGCTTTCATTGAGATGTTTTTAAATTTCTTAAATATTGATATAAATCTAACAATTTCAGTCTACTATAGGACATAAATTAGTTTTCTAATGTTCTAATTTTCTATTCATGACCTGAGTCATGTTCTGTAGTGTTCTGTCACTGTATCAATATGTGTTACTTATTTACTCAGTATGACAGTCTCAGTCTTATAATTGGAATGTAGACCATTTATATTAATGTAATTGATATGGTTGGCTATAAATCTATCATCATGCTGTTTTCTATTTGCTCTATTCTTTTCTCCCACTTTTCCTGTCTTTTTAAGGATTGAGTATTTTTTTATGATTCAGTTTTATCTCTACTATTGGCTTATGAGCTATTCTCTTTTTGGGGGCTGCTGGTGGCGGTGAAGGTTGCTATACACTTTTCAGTATATATCTTTAATTTATCACCATTATACTATTACACCACTTATATGGCTTTTCACAGAAAAAGTTGACTAATCATGATGCTTATCAGGATCAATTCCTTTTTTTTTTTTTT